GGGAGGGGGGAGAGGGAGGGGTGGAGGAAAGGGAGGGGTGGAGGAAAGGGAGGGGGAAGAGGTAGACTTTTAGCTTTTTCAATTGTGTCTTTTTTAAAATTTATAGATTTTCTTTGTCTTCCTGGAGGAAAACAACAAGAACTTAAGCTTGTACGGAAAACAAAAATCTTCAAACTAATGCACACCTGAAATTTACAACAAACAATTCCAACAATACAGCAAAAACAAAAGAGCAAAAACAAAGGGATTCCCACCCACCCCTTGCATCACAAAGTCTCTGTAAGTAACAACACATTCACAGTCAGAAACCACCATACATATCAATGCTTTGATCCAGTTTTCATAAGTAATATCATCTCCATCAAAACCTTCAAAGCGGAATAACAGATGAGCCATAAGGGTCCATATTAATAGTAAATCTCATCACTTCAATTGAAAAAAAAAAGAGAACACAAATCTGTTTCACAAAGAGATAACCAGTAATATAAATTTGCCTTTTCATATCCTGCTGTCTTTGGATTATCTTGGGATTTTTTTTCTTGTGCATTTTGTCTTTTGAATATATAATCTCGTCTTCTGAATATCTTGTCTTCTGTACATATCTTTTTTTTTTCATTAAAAAATCTTGACTTTTGAAGATCTTGTCTTTTGAATATCTTGTCTTTTGAACAAATAATCTTGTATTTTGTATATCTTGTCTTTTGCATATCTTGCCTTTTTAATGTTTTGGATGTCTTGTCAGGCTATCCAAATTCCGGATTAATAAAAAAACAAGAGAACTTGCTCAGTTAAACAAAATTCAAAGTAAATTATAGTCTTAAAGAACTTAGGCCTAACTAATAAACACATAGGAAAATTAATCGCAGATGTACAATCTGCACTAAAAATCATATTCAACTGCCAAACAATTTAAACAAAAATTGAAATTTTTTCACGGTCATTGTTTCACAGTATTTTCAATTAAAATCAAATCTTTCACTGTCATCGTTAACTACTGACACACGGACATTTACACAAGGAGTGCTGCTCATCTACGGCGTACGCCGTGCCTGGACCACAGACGGCACTCGACCTACAGGACCCGGCGGCTGTCATCAACTCTCCTCCAGCTGTTCTGAAAAACACGAGCGAAACAAACGAAAGACATTAGCTCAGGTGTACAACAGCAAAAGTAACAAATGGCTACCCCAGATTTACAAAGCTCATGTGTCAGAAAGTGAATGACAAAAATGATGTCATGAAGGCCCTTGCCACCACACCTGAAGATAAGGAGATTTGAGCATGACTATGCACCAATCTTAAGACTTGAAGAACTGGGTCTCCAACCAGATTATGATGAAGACTATAAGCAGACAGACTCTGGGATGCATCCTGAAGACGGGGGGGGGGGAGCAGAGATGGACATGTTCCGACTGCAGTGACCCCAACACAATGGAAAACTCAACAACTCGACGAGAACTGGGTGTCCTCAGAGGAAGTGGCAGTACCAGCATGGTACAGGGGATAGAAAGACGGGTTATTAACCAAATGAACACCGGAACGATCAGCAGATGGACCCACGTATGGCAATGTCCGGAGTGCTTTGATGTTGTTCCCAGGATCGAGTAATCAAGTAATCAAGTACAAGGCTCTATCTGCTCATTACCTTTGAGAAATTTAAAGTAATAAAACTTTTAGTTTAGTATTAGTAGAGGTTTTTCGGCGCTCACAACTTCATAAGGTCATATGAGCACCAGAAGATAAGAGGTGTTACAAGAGAGTAACAAACATAAAAAAGAAGAAGGGGAGATAAGTACGATAGATGTTTGATAGGAAAGAAGCAAACCACACCGGAGCACCCGCCAACCACCCACACGAAGACATTAGATCAGGTGTAAAACAACAAGACTAACAAATTGCTACCCAAGAAATACAAAGTTCATTCTGCTCAGTACCAAGATCTAGTTTCAAGAAATTTAACGTAATAAAATTTTTGAGTTTCACAATATGTAAATCTTTTCCATGAAATTCTTTGAGTATCTTGATAACGACTCTGATCCCTGTAAAGATTTCTCTGTTGACCCACCCCTTGGCGCTCAAATGACCTTATGCAGTTGCGAGCGCCGTAAATCCTCTACTAAAACCAAAAACCAGCGACTCTGAACAACCTATTATTTTGATAGAGCAGACAGAACCTCTGGGCGCGCGCGCTCATATGACCTTATGCAGTTGCGAGCGCCGTATAACCCCATACTAAACTAAAAAACAAGAACGTCTGGTTTCTGACCTCATGGTCTTTGTAACTCAAAATAGTCAGAAATGTCGGACAGAACTCTGTAATTCTGAGGTAGGGAAATACCTCGACCTAACTACATAGTAAGAATCAAGTTTAGATTAGTTTTTGTAAGATTTTACGTTACTTTCAACAATAACAGGCTATATTGTAAAACAGCAAGACAAACAAACTACATAATAAGGATCAAGTTTAGATTAGTTTTTGTAAGATTTTTCGTTACTTTCAACAATAACAGGCTATACTGTAAAACAGCAAGACGAACAAATGCCTCATAGAGAGGACGGGGGTGGGGGAGGGGGAGGAGGGACGAAGAAGGGAGGGTGAGAGAGGGGAGAGGGAAGAAGCAGGGGGAGGGGAGGGGGATGAAGGAGAGAAGAGAGGGAGGGGTAAAGAGGGGAGGGGAGGGGACGAAAGAGAGGGGACAAAGGACAGAAAAGACGGAGGAGACAGATGGAACTAAATGAAAAGGATCAAGTTTAGTTTCGTTCAGGTGAGAGTTTTACGGCACTTGAAACACAAACAGGTCATCCAAGTACAGAGAAGTCAAAGTGTGACTACTGGGGGAACGGAAGTACATCTGACTATCGTCACTCACTGATGATGTCCAGTTTGCAGAGGGGACAGGTTCGATTCTTCACCAGCCACGGGTCGACACATCTGGTGTGATATGGGTGGGAGCAGGGGAGGATGCGTAGTTTCTGGGGGGAAGAAACAAATAACAGAATGCGTTTTTTAAAGTTTTCGTAGGTATTTTATGGCACTTGCAACACTACAAGGTCATATAAATGCCGAATATTAGAGGAAGATTAGTTTTAGTAAGAGTTTAACGGCACTTGCAATACAATAAGGTCATGTAAGTGCCGAAGAATAGATGTGTTACAAGAGAGTAACATACACAAAAAACAAGGAGGAGAGATAAGGAAGATGGATGTTTGATAAGAAAGAAGGAGCAAACCACACCAGAGCACACACCAACCACCCACACAGAATGTGTGAAACACACATTAATACATGCAGTAATTAGCACTGAACAACAGAAAGCGTGAAACATGCGTAAATAAAAGGCACAATTATTACTGTCTAACAACAGAATGGGTAACATACGCATAAAAACATGGCAAAATTAGCATTGACCAACAGAATGTATGACACACTCATAAACCCACGCGCTCATATGACCTTATACAGTTGCGAGCGCCGTAAAACACTTACCAGAGAAAAAAACACCCAAAAAAAACACTCATAAACACAAGGCATACTGTTGAACAGAATGTGTGACATACTCGTAAATACATAGCAAAATTAGCACTGAACAACAGAAAGTGTAACATGGCGTACTTAGCACTGAACAACAGAAAGTGTGACATGCACGTATGTAAATACATAGCGTAAATAGCGCTTTTTTATCCCCAGGAGTTTTATGGCACTTGCAACACAATAAGGTCATATAAAAACCGAAGATAAGAGGAAGATTAGAGAAAAGGGAGTAACAAACACAAAAAAAGGAGGAGAGATACCGACGACAGATGTTTGATAGTAAAGAAGGAGCAAACCACACCAGAGCACCCACCAAACAAATAACAGAATATGTGACACACACATAAATACATCGCATAATTAGCACTGAACAACAAAATGAGTGACACACGGGTAAATACTATTTCCTGGTTACATTCTGCTTTCAAAAAATGTTTAGGTTTATAGACTTTACTTGCTTGGATTGCTTGTTCTCGAGCATTTTCTAACACAGTATGGTGAAATCATTTAATTTCTCTTGAAACCACTGGCTATTTGTTTGGAACACTTGGAGGGTTAGAACATTAAAAATGACGGAAAAAAATGTTAAAAATAATAATAGATAGCATTTTTACAGCACAAATCCCCGCTCAACAGCAAGCTCTATACGCTTCACAATCTATACTATTACCCAAGTAGACCTGAGAGCATTCTGAAACAGCCTCAACTTCCTGGGAAGCATACAGTGCAAGCGGCCTTTTATAGGTGCTAAGACACTAACATACTGACAAGATCTTTCGCTGTCTATGGCCTGTTACCCATTTCCACCTGGGTGAAGTGAGGAAAATTTGTGTAAAGTTCCTTTCCCAAGGACACAACGTCGGGCCCGCAACCTCACAATTACGAGTCCGGTAGCCTAACTACTAGGCCACCGACACGACTGAACAACACTTTAAAAACTACTTACGTGCTTGTGCAGAAACTCCTCCAGACAAGTGCAGGGGTCTATGAGAGGCTTCTCCACGCCCGTCTTCCTCACCCTAACCCTAAACCCTACTAAACCAGCAAAATAAAAACATTTTTAAAAACCAACACAACAAAACCCTCGGTTACCTGTTTGTGCAGAAACTCCTCCAGACAAATAGCGCAGGTGTCTATGAGAGGCTTCTCCTCTCCCGTCTTCCTGTACTTCATTGTCTTCATCATGGAGATAGCATGGTGGGCCGTCTTCCTCATGCTCGACTGAAACATAATAACAATACACAGCATTTGTATAATAATAATAATAATAATAGACAGTATTTGTATAAAAATAATAATAATAATAGCATTTGTATAATAATAATAATAATAATAGACAGCATTTGTATAATAATAATAATAATAATAATAGACAGCATTTGTATAGCTTAAATTGGTCCCTTTTAAGAACAAGGGGGCTATCCCGAAAAATGTTGTTTCGAGAAAATCGAAGTTTAAGTTTTCCGACTCTTGTTCAGTTCCTTTGAAAGACAAGGGGAGTTTTTCTCTATAACCAAACAAATATACACAACCAAACAAATATACACGCCAATCACACCAAACTTCTTCTTAAGGTAGGGCAAAGCCCAATTTAGTGTAGGTCAAGATTTCTGGAAACGCCCAAAATCTGGGTTAGCCCGTTTTTTCCTTAAAAGCGACCAATTTCACTTTCAACAGTAAGCTCTATGTGCTGCACAATCTATATGTAAGGCATCGTGATCACATCAGGCGCTCATCAAAATAATGAAATCGAAGAAGCAGGCATTTTTTCTCCAATTTGGCAATTTTTATTGAATTTTTCTTTTTTGGCTAAACACCTGTTTTGTCTATATGAAAACAATAACCTTATGAATTTTACTGAAAAACGTTGACTAAAAGCACCAAATATGTAATTTTTCAGTTCTCAAACATTCTCAAGCTATTAAAGCTACCAAACTTTGGTGGCCATTTTCTTGCTAATTTTACCATTGAACCCAAGCGACCCGACCTCCTTCAATCACAAATATCTTCACTTCAATTCAAAATGGAAGGGCATATTTTTTATCGAAACCAAGGCAAATGAATTCTCTTTCAGATGATACCAACATCTCCACAAGCCCAAATATTGACGAGCGCCTGATTCCACCGAGCGACCATATTGTTACCCCAGCAGACTTGATCTAACATGCACAACAACAGGAAAAACGGAGGTCACACAGGCAGTTTTAGTTTTTAGTAAAAGTTTTACAGCACCCGTTACACGATTAGGTTTCATCAGTGCAGAAGAAGAGTTAAGTTTTAGTAAGACTTATTATGGCCCTTGCAAAACAACTGGGTCATATCAGTCCCTAATAATACTTCAGTTTAAGTAGGAATTTTACAGTACTTGCTCCCTGGCCGACTCACCTCCATCTGGTGGTCCCACACGCCGTCCGACATTCTCGTCTTGACACCCGTCAGCAGAACCAGCAGGAAGATGAAGGCGTAGAAACATTGCCAGAACTGGCTCAGGTTCGTCTGAGATGAGATGAGATGAGATGAGATGAGTTGAGGTAAGGTGAGATAAGTTTTTAATGTTCAGTTACTGGCACATGGGTTTAGTGTTGCACACACACACACACACACACACACACACACACACTCACATACACACACACACACACACACACGCACACACACACACACACACACACACACACACACACACACACACACACACACTCACACATGCATGCATGTATACCTCTCCTATAAAATTAACTCCCCTGGGTTTAGTCATTCTGTCAGTCTTAGTAGTAGTTTCATAGCACTTGCGACACAATTAGTTCATATACAAGAGCCAAAGGTTAGAGATGTAACAAGAGAGTAACAAACACCAAAAAAAAAGGAGGAGAGATATGGAAGATACATGTTTGATAGAAGAGAAGGAGCAAACAACACCACAGCACCTGCTAACCACTTTCCACACATTTGAAAGCCATTCTAGAGAATAGAAGAATGAAGATGGTTCTTTTACCCTTTTCTGCACATCAATGTTCACACACACATATACTATTGGACTCGGATATAGATGATATACTGAATTTTTTTTTTTTAATGATTCACTATCAATTCCTCCTCATATTCTCACTTCCACAAACATAAAGAAATCAACTCTCATCTGGGCTATTTTTGAAAATTTCTCGCAGAAAAAAGGGCAAAAAGTCATTGCAGCACAGAGGAAATGCTCAAACGTTTAAAAAAATATCGTTGGAAGAAGGGGGGAAAAAACTACTCCTTTCTCGTAACAAATAGACAGAAACTACAACTAGAAACAAAGTGAGAAAAAAAACCCTATTTATCTGAGTTCCTATATCACAGATATATTATAAACACCATAACATTTCTAAGTAAGGCATTCCTGAAAATCTGTTCCAGCAATGAAAAAAAAATGATTTTTTAAAACCCTATCTCTAAGTAGTGTTTTACTATCGTATCTATATAACGTGGGGAACTCTGGGCTCCAACTTTCCAAAGAGGAAATTTACTCGTCCGTACGCTTTGCATAGCAGTCTGTCAAAATGATTTTTGGAGAAATACTGAAAGTTTCAAAGAGATCTGATCTTCGCACTAGAAGTATTCTAAAATGTGAAGAATACAACTCCTGGGGTACAAAATGACCTCACGGCGTACGGATAGGGTTAACACTTAGCTGTCACTTGCCGCAATAGTGCGATGGATAAAATCATCCGTTCCGGTCACCTGGTGCAACAGGCCCGGGAAGTTCGTTGCAGTCACTCTCCTAGCAGAGTGACCAGATAGGGTATTTTGTACTGCTGGCTGTCTGACTGCAAAGTGTTAAAATTTCCATTTAAGGCATTCCTGAAAACTTGTTCCAGCAATGAAAAAAAAAAAAAGATTCTTTAAAATGCTTCAATAATTCTGAAGTTCCTCTCGGTGTGACCCTAACCTTGCTGGTGCCCGCCTGCTCCTCCTCGCCGACACAGATGACACCTCTCCCTCCCGGGGCTCGGCCACACGTCGACCACATCGTCAGCGTCGGAACTTTCTGGAAACAAAAAAAAAAAGTTTTTTTAAAAATTAACACTTTGCAGTAACTTGCCGCAATAATGCGCCGGTGAAAATTATCCGTTCTGGTCACCTGCCGCAATTCTGCTCCAGGCCCAAGAAGCCCATTGCAGTCACTCTCCTGGCTGGGTGGTTAGATGGGGTATTTTGTACCGCTGGCTGTGTGACTGCAAAGTGTAAAAAAAACCCATGGATTTAATTTACTGCCTTCCTTTAGGTTCCTCAACCACCAGCATTTGTGGTGCAGCGGGTAGGTGCTTCCAGTCACACACAGAAGACTCAAGTTCGATTCGCGAGTGGGGAGAACTTTTTTTATCGAGTATGATCTCTGGTCTTTCTGCTGGGATGAAGGATGAAGTATCCCTCTCAGCCAAGGTAGGCCCTGACAGGCAGCCGATGATCAGAATTGTGCAAAAATCGATGCAAAAAACACCTACACTTTTTATAAAGCGCAACTGCAGAGTGCCTAACCGCTAACCACATTACGCCAGTATTCTGCTCCGTATTCTGCATCAATAAATTGTCAACCAACTGTTCAGATATATTAAACCCAAAATTTTGGTCATACTTTCTTTTATTGCAATTTCATAATCTGTGGTATCAGCTGCATATACTCGAGACATATTTTGCCTAAATTCAGATTCTAAATGCTGAAAAAAGCAAGAAAAGGTAAATAATATAAGTATAATTTCACAAAGAATCTAACAATTTCTTCTCTCTCCCACAAAATTTTGCTTTCTGAGCTTATAACATTTGAACAACTTCCCGACGAAATGCTGAAAACTTTACTTTTGTTGCCTGTAAGAGATTTCTGAACTCAAGATTCGTTGCTCAAGAGGCTATGGTTTGGGCAGTTTTAGGGTTAGCATGCCAGGGTTATCAGAGACGAAAGATCGTTCTCTGCCCGAATCAGTTTCAATTTTTACTGCTTTATCCAGCAATAACAAACTAATCAAGATAATTAACTATTCATAACACATGCAACACAGGTTAAAATGAATACCGGTATATATATCTGCTATTTTCAGTTTTAGTAAGAGTTCTACATCACTGGCAACACAAGAAGGTCATATAAGTGCCAAATTATTTTTTTTTTATTATAGTAGAGGGTTTTACGGCGCTCGCAACTGCATAAAGTCATATGAGCGCCAAGGGGTCGGTGTCAACAGAGAAGTCTTTACAGGGAATCAGACTCATACTGCTCACCTCTCTAGCTTCAACAGCACAAGGTCTGCTTCGAATATCAAGGCACCCCAAAATAGCGGGTCACAAGAGAGTGACAAACATACAAAAGAAGTAGAGGAAAATGATAATAGTAAGGATCAGGAAAGAAAAAGCAGCAGTTCCCTGTTGTAGATCAAGCACAGTTATGAGCCTGACCTGAATCATGTACCCCCTTTGGGAATGGCCTAAAGACACTACAGTCAGTGGCACTGCCCCGGGGGGGGGGGGGGTGAAGTGCCAAAGATTAGAAGTGTTACAAGAGAGTGACAAACACAAAAAAGAAGGAGAGATAAGGAAAATAAGACAAGATAAGATGAGATAGATAAGATAAGATTATACTTTATTATCCCAGAGGGAAATTTTTCTAAGCTGTACAGGACGGTAAAAACACACGCAGGTATACATAAGAATTTAAATTACATCTTACTCTCATTAAAATTCAATAGATGTTTGATAGGAAAGGAAAGATGGAGCAAACCACACCAGAGCACCTGCCAACCACCATCTGCTGACTATTTATTACACCAATCCTCCTCCCCCCCCCCCCTATATCAGGTGCACACCTCCCCAGTCCTACTCACCAGCATGTGGTCATTCATGCTGCTCACTGCCACTTTCACGTGGAACTTCACTTGACTGAAAAAGAAATAGAACAATATCAAAATGTAGAAAAAGAAGTACAATCAGGCCTGCTCTAACAACCACCTGTATTATAAGACAACCACCTGTATTATAAGACAACCACCTGTATTATAAGACAACCACCTGTATTATAAGACAATCACCTGTACAAATAACTATTCCCACCTTGTATTGTGTTCTAAAATGGTCGCTTTTAAGGACAAGCGGGCTAAACCATATTTCGGAGGTTTCCAGAAATCTTGACCTACCCCAAAAGTGGGCATAGCCCTATCTATTGGAGAAGTTTTGGTTTCCTTAGAGTGTATATTTGCCTGGTTATAGAGAATACTCCTCCTTGTCTTTTAAAGAAACTCAAAATAGCATTTTTCGGGATAGACCCCTTGTGCTTAAAAGCGACAAAATATTTTAATGAGTCTTTCCAAGAGGATCACCAGTAGAAGACAGGGATGGAAACTGATCAGTCCTAACTTTACAGAACTCTTTATCTCTGCGGGGGGTAAACCCACTACGCCGGGGCCCTTTTTTGGTGCTAAATCTAAAAATGACAAAAACGTCATTAAATGGGTCATAAAATCAAAACTAGCAAAACTATTTTGATAGCTCTTCACCTACAGAATGAATTTCCGGTATAAGAGACCTGTTTTGCTGGCAATTGCTGAAAAGTAATTTGATGTCGAAGTCATCATAAAGGAATGTGCCCGAGATGCTGTGAGCGGCTCACCGGCACAGTGGTTCCGACCGCGAGCCCCTGGGAAAGGCTTGCCGGGGATACAGAGTTAACTTTTCGCGGGCTATACAGATTTGGAAAAATACACTTATTCCATTGTAAATTAGGACACACAGTAGAATGACTCACCATTGAAAGTAGGTAGACAGGCATCAGGGGTCCCACTTACGGAAAATGACGGAGCAAATCAAAATTACGGATTTCCGTAAATTTACGGACATTCTCCATCCCTTATAAGACAATCACCAAAACAAACAGCCACTTTCCATTTCTTCTCTTATGTTGTTGGGGTTTTTTTGGTTCATTATAACAAGACGGTGTAAGATGTCCACCAGTCTAAGATGGCCACTTTTCTTCTCAACAATGAGGTGAAAGTCTTAGACAGTATCAACTGTATGCGCTCTGTATATCGACAGAGAACTGAGAGCCTGAAATGATCTTGGACAGTCAAGGAGTTGTCATGCAACTGTAAGTGAGTAACTTCCCCCACCCCCACTCCCCCCCCTCCCCAATTCCCAACCCCCTCACCTCCGACACAATTTAGATCATTTCTGAGGCAGGCTGCTTCAATACTACCTACGAGAGCCAACCATGGCTGGGAGGTATACAATGTCCAAGCAGACAGACAGAGATACTCAATAAAAAAATTTGTTTTTAAAACATCCCCTCAGAGGAATCGAACTCACATCTTTGGCATGTGACAGTGAAGCGCCTAATAGCAACACCACAGACACTAGCGAAATAATTACGGATTATTAAAGAGCTTCTCGACACAAAAAAAACGTAACAATGCTCTAAAGTCTTACGTTGATTTAAGGGTCACATAAATTGCACTTTTCTTTTCCTAATTGTTCTTATTAATAGGGAGGAGAAGTTGGAGGAGGACACTGATGACAACGATGATGAGGAGGGAGATGAGGAAGAGAAAGAGGAGAAGGAAGATAAGGAGGAAGAGGAGAGGGAAGAGGAAGAAGAGAATAAACAGAAGTAGCAACCACCTCATAAACTGGTTGTAAATGTTCCAACTTCAAGGCAAGCTGCACCAAGCCTGAATATTAAAGTCGCTTTTAAGCACAGGGGGGCTATCCCGAAAAATGCTGTTTTGAGAAAATCAAAGGTAAAGTTTTTGCTCCTTGTTCAGTTTCTTTAAATGACAAGGAGAGTTTTCTCTATAACCAAACAAATATACAGACTAATGAAACCAAACTTCTCCTATAGGTAGGGCAATGCCCACTTTTGGTGTAGGTCAAGATTTCTGGAAACCCCCGTACTCTGGGTTTGCCCACTTGTCCTTAAAAGCGACAATATATACCTCCACAGAGACCAATGCTGCAACCGCCCCAACAAACAACCTACCTCAAGATCAAGGTGAGCAAAGCTGTGATGTTCTCGGGATTGTCAATCACGACGATGGGCTTCGACACCAGCTGTGACACATCCAGCTAGAGGGAGGACAACACAAGTGTAACATTTGAGCATTTGTGTGTTCTTTGCGTGTACACTTGTGTATTTCATCACATATTTATATCATGTATGTTTGTCATTATAAAATTCAACGACAAGCACATCTGGTCGGGGTAGGCAATTTAATACTTAACAACTGGCACATACTCTGTTCACATGTTCTGCTCGGAAGAGGCACTGACCACATGTTCTCGTGCTTGTATACTGCTCACAACACCGACAAGGATAATCACTACGAAAGGACGAAGACAGCTCATGACAGTTACAGGTGGTCACTAAAAATAATGGACGAGGACAACTGGACTGATTTATTGGGTTAAATCCCTTAAACATGTTTGACAGTGACAACACTACAGTCATTGTAACCCAAATTTCCCCATGGGGATCAACAAAGTGTAATTTATTCATTTATTTTCATTATTTATTATTATATTTTACTTCACTTACTTTATTTCATTATTTATTATTATATTTTACTTCACTTACTTACTTTATTTCATTTATTTATTTTAATTATTTATTTATTTCATTTATTTATATATTTATCTATCTTACCATTCTTTAATTATTTGATTACTAAAACATAAGCTGGTGGGTGGTTAGCTGTAGACTATTAAGTAACTTGACAGGTAATAGACTAACACATCACAGTCACAAGGTATCATCATCACCATCATGATCCCCGCCCATCATAAATTTCTCATACATGTTGCATGTTTTCCAAAACCAAGAACAGTAAAATGAGGAGGATTAGACTGTCAATTATCCACAGGCACCATTTCTCCACTTCTGTGTTATTTCTTATGCACAGTAGAATTGTAAATGGGCTGATTTACCAATGTCATGCTCATACTGTGCCGGAACAACATAGGCGTAACTGCTGCTTTTTCTTTTCTCATCCTTACTATCATCATGTTTCCTCTACTTCTTTCGTATGTTTGTCACTCTCTTGTGAACGGGTATTTCCAGGGTGCCTTGATAGTCGAAGCAGATTTTGTGGTGTTGAAGCTAGAGGGGTGAGCAGAGTAAGTCTGATTCCCCGTTTGGACTTCTCTGCTGACACCCACCCCTTAGAGCTTATATGACCATATTTTGTTGCGAGCGCCATTTATAAAACCTTACTAAAACTAACTCTGTATTATGGGGAGGTAATTAACAAAGTTAATAAAAAAAATACTCAGTAGCCTCCCCTGTCACTGACAATTTTTAAAAAAAATGTTTTTTACTAATACAGTCAACCCTGCGTAAGACGGCTGCTTATTGTCAAGGAGAAAAGTGGGCATATAAAACAGGAGGCCGTCTAAGACAGGACTGATCAAAATGAAGAAAACAAACCATTCCCTTCTGAGATCCCAACTGAAAGTAGCTGCGTTGTTGTTGTTGTTGTTGTTGTTGTTGCTGTTGTTGTTGTAGGTTCATTTTTTGTTAGCTTTTATTTATATTTTGTTGCTCATTTTGTGCAACGGTGACAATAAAACGAAATGTGTCCGACGAGGAAGACTGAGTACCATGTTGAAACAAACACATGGGTCACCACCACCACTCGGAAAATGAGCGACGCTTCTGTCGCAGGTACATGTTGACACCCAAATTGTTACTTTGTTACAGACTGGGTAAACAGTCACCATTAACTCACTTACAATTCAATATGCGTATGAGTTGTGGGCAGTGCTTATGGGTAATGGGGGGGATCAAACGCTTACCTCACTTGCAGCTGAAAATATATTTTTATCTATTGGTCAACAGTGGGAGGGGCCTACGCAACATGATCGACTGGAGGGATTACTTAACAACAACGACAGGTGATTGGGTTAAGACGGCCCGTCCACAATGTCAGGGGCCAATACATAATCTATTTTTATAAGTTGGGAATTGAGAGAGAGATGGCCATCTAAGACAGGTGTTACAGTTTGGTGTGATAGGGGCTGCAAGATAAAATGTGGTGGCCGCCGCCGCGTTGGACAGGTGACCGTTTTACACAGTTAAATGATATAGAAAAAATGCAAGGGGGGAAATGGAAAGTGGCCGTTTGTACAGGTGACCGTATTATACAGATGGCCGTCATGGCAGGTTCGACTGTATGTAAAAAGTAAAGTTGTTCCCCCATCCGATCCGGACATTGGGGATTGCCTTGTTAGTGAGACAACGTCCTGGGCCTTTGGCATATTGTGGTAGGGTGGCTATTTCCTTTCCACGCTGCCTTTACTTCCCCAACTCGAAGTCAGGAACCCAATACTGCTGGGTGGGCAGGAGGGGGCCAAAAAAATCAAAAACATTTAAAATTTTGGGTGAAAAAGAAGTATGTTATAACAAGGTTTTACTGAACATATATTTTCCCTTACACTCTCAAACACTTATAAAGAATAGCATACCTCTTTTATGATCCCTTGGTTCAAGGTCAAGATAATGATTGCCGACGCCCCAAACATTAGTGCTTTCCTGACCTGTGTAACATGAAGGAAAAAAAATTACAGGCTGACAGGAAAGTACAACTAAATACCAGAACCAATGTCACAATATTTTTAATTGCAGTTTCTTAATCTGAAATGTCAGTTACATATGCTCCAGAAATGTTTTGTCGAAATTCAAATTCTAAACGTTGATAAAAATAAAGAAAAAATTTAAAAACACAATATATATATATGTATAGTACAATTGTTAAAAGAAAGAAATAATTGTTTCTCTCTCCTAAAACGTTTTACATTCTGGGCTTAGTACCTTGGGACTCCTAGCCGACAATATGCCATCACAAATCTTACCCTGTTAACAAATCCATTGTTATAATAAATATTGAAATACTGCAGCAGTCTCCAGGAATCTTTTACAATTTTCTTCTCCATGTGCTCAAAAGCAAATCTCACCCTGTTTACAAACACAGTGTCATAGATATTGAAATACTGCAGTCTCCACCAATCTTTTGCCACTTTTATCTTCGCGTGCTTACAACAAATCTTACCCTGTTTACAAATACATTGTTATAAAATATATTGAAATACTACAGCCTCCAATAATCTTTTGACGTTTTTATTGTCGCGTTCTTACAACAAATCTTACCCTATTTACAAATACAGTGATATAAAATATTGCAAGACTACAGTCTCCACCAATCTTTTGCCATTTTCATCTCCGACTGCTAACAACTAATCTTACCCTGTTTACAAATACAGTGTTATAAATTAATGAAATACTGCAGCAATCTCCACCTACCAATCTTTTGCCATTTTCTTCTCCGTGTGCTAAAAAAACAAATCTTACCCTGTCCATGACCAGAGGGCAGTCAGAAGCCAACCCGTCCCCGGCACTTCCGTCCGTCTCGGCCGAGTAATGCACGACACCCACCCAGTCCTGGGGTAACCGAGCAAATCCATTCATGTCTCTGTTTCCACAGTCATCAGATGGAAGCTGAAATAATACATATGTAAAAAAAACGTTTACAACCACTTGTAGTTGTATACATGATGATAAAGGCTTATAAACAACAAGATGCAATATTTTATCACAAGTACTCTCTCTCTCTCTGTCTCTCTCTCTCTCTTTCTCTCTTTATTACTACACAGAAAGAGCACCTAACAGAAAAGGAAAGAGCTCTTCATTCTTACTTTCTCTCATCATTGTTTTTCATTTCGGTTCACTGTTCAAGTATATTTTCAAGTCCCTAACTGATTTTAACGCAACATGGCTGCTTTCCCCCTAGAGTGCTGGGTCCTGCTAGCCAAATAGCCATGAATTTCGAAACCAATCTTATCTACCCAAAAAAAAATTTTAATTTCATTTTCATCTAGATCTAGATCTAGATAAATTTTGAGCGAAACTTTTCAGCAGTAGCTGGCCAGAAAGACCTTTATTTTTTCAAAAACATTGTACTTCAACTGTACATGATTGCAAAGGAAATATGAAAATTATTCCCCTCATAATACAAAAAAAATTAATTAGATTCACTACCTGAGACAGGTAGGCCTATTCGAAAAACCTGACAATACACTGTAAGTTATTTCATGTAAGTCTGAAACTGCAAGCATTTATAAACCTGGAATTACACCAAGTAAATGTATGACCTAGAGACTCTAGTAATGAGAAACAAGTCCCATGCCCCCAGGCTAGAGAGCTCTCACAGAGACACAAACTGTACTTTCTCATTTTCAACAAAAATTAATCTTTTTCCTATCAGCGAGCAACTCGTGACATTCAAAGCTTGCTGGTTTACACAAAAAAGGGAAAACCCTCCCACTTGTCCCTCCCAATTAGTCTAAGATGCATGCCTTTCAATACTTTGTTTATCTTCAGCCTTAATTAAACTTTGGTGACTTTGAGTGAGCAAATGAATTTTGGCAGCAATGACTCAAACTCAAACAGTTTGACAATTGACAAAAAGGCCTCATATTTGGGGAGGACTTCCGTAATGAGCAACCACTATGAGACAGAGTAGAGAAGAGAGGGGTAGGGGAAGGGTTAGGGTTAGGGTTAGGTCTCTTCTTTATAGAGTTTGTTGGGTTGGTCGCTCGATACAGAATTCTTTCCAATTTTGAGAACGAGAATCCTTGAACAAGCTACTGATTACTGAAGACTGTTAAAGTTATCACGTCATAATTTTGTTTTGGTATCCTAAAAAAAAAGTAATTTTTTTTTTTTAAGTTTAATATCAGCACACACCATTACAAATATCAGTCTCTGTACGTATATCTAACCTGATGACAGTGATGACTCATACACTTGAACAAGACTACTTTAATGACTAAATACTTGTAGGCCTACTGTAACTGTGTGCAGAGTGCAAATGCAGGCCTACTTCTGCACCTACCATATGCAAACGACCGCCCACTTCTTGATCCCCACCGGCTGGCATGAATCGACCGCTGAACTTTTGTATGTGTCTATGATCCTCACAGTTCTGGTTTGAGACCGGTGGTCTGGTGTGTTCTCCAGAAGTCGGTTGCGTCACTTGTGTCTTGGAGGAGAGTATTGGAGTCGGACGAGATTGATGAGAAGTCCTCATCATTTGCTGGCCAAGTCTAGACGGCAATCTTATGGTATGGGACATCGTAACTGATGCTTCTTTCGCTTGAACAACATTTACAGGAACGTAAATGATACATGCACAAAGCAAAATGATACTTGTCGACCATTTTCGCGTTGACATAACTGAAAGAAGTATCAGATGCACCAAACACCAAAGACTGTCGTCCATCTTGGGTGTTTGTGTTGACGTTTTGCACGGACGTAATCGAGTCCAATCTCAAATGTCAACAATTGGTATCGTCTTGGTATCGTCACTTGTTGCAGCTTTTATTTTGTAATCTTTGGATTGCTTTTTTGTTTGTTTTTGTTTTGTTTTGTTTTTTTGGGGGGTTGGGGTGGGCTGTCTCTCTTTCAAAAGGCCCCTCTTCCCTCTTCTCTACCCGGACTTGAGAAAAGTTTTCCTAAACACCTCCCTGTATTTGGAACTCATGTTCAGGTAGACAAACATGTTGACGCTTGAGTTAACGCTCTCTACCATGACACAGAGCGAGCCGAACACCAAAAACATGTTCTCATATCTTCCTCCAACGTACATTGTTGGCTCAACAAAGAGACCGAGATAAAGTATTGTCGAAGGTAAGTAACAGATGATAAAGATGGAACCGATTAAAGTCACAGTTTTCGTAACCTTTTTATCCTGGTGGCTCTGTACTTGAGGTCCTTTAGCAACAGCCGTTTGCCGCCATTTCGTCTTTTTGTTGAGTTTGAGGACGAAAACAATGGAGCAGCACGTGACAGACAAGAAGGACAAGGTGTGGACGATGACGCCATGTGTCTGGACCATTGAAGCAATGACAATGTGGCCTTGGTAGAGTTACTGCTAGGATCGATGTGTTTCTGGCCGGATCAAACACCCAGGCCAGTCTGTTACTGTAGAACAGAGGCAGACTTGTACACAGCATGGTGGAGAACAACAAGAACAGGATGACCTTTGTCCTCCGTGGCGTGATAATCTTGTTGACCTTCATAGGTACAGCAATACACAGACATCTCTCCAAGGTGATGAACGCGGTGATCAAAGCTATGCTTCTGTAGATATTCCAAAAAAGGCGAAATGTATCATAAAGTCGTTATTTCATCAAGAAAACGAAGGTATTATCATACAATGAACAAAATAATATACAGTATTTCTCAAGGATGAAGAAAAAATGTCTATAAAAACTTCCTGTTTACAGAGGTTATAATGCACTCTATGTTCGTGTGTGTGTGTGTGTGTGTGTGTGTGTGT